CCAATGATAATTAAAAGGCCTTACCATAAAAGTGGAGCAGAAAACCGGAAGTTCTGCAATGGTTAAGGAAATGGTAATTAATTCTTTCTAAACGAGAATTAGGAAATTGTGAAATTATTTCAGATATTCGTTCGAAAGGAAAATCGTTTGAGTTAATGAAATCTGTAATTCACTTCTTTGACTCTCTCTTATATAATTAAAATTAATGATTGAATGTAAAACTGTACCTAAGTGTTACAATAAATTGTATCTTAAATTTTCTTTTTTTTCTTATGATATAAAATTCTTTCCCTTTTTATCAAAGACTTTAAATTATTAAAATAAACAAATAATCAAGAAAAAGAACTATTAAAATTCTATATTCAAGAAAAGGAAGAAAATTTTATAATTAAAGTACGACACCCAACTTCCTTTTCTTTTTCTAATTAATCAAACGGATATACAACGCGAAATTACATAGATCATTGCTTTCCTACAATGTTAACAAACACGAATACCTCGATTCAACTAACTGAAATCGATTTCCTATACAGATATCGCTCGACATCCTAATGATAAATATTATACTCTACGATACACGATCGATTCAAAACAAACGATCGTATTTACTTTCGACTTGTCGTACGTTCGATGTTATCGTATCGCTTTCCATCATCGGTCGAAGCACGCGTCTTTATTAGAAAGGTGGAAACCATCCGACTTTCTACGCGTGCTTCAACAAGGGGAGATTTATCGACGAGTAAACGGAGCAGATCGTGCTCGAGCGCGTGATATTCGATAAATTCCCCTAGGAAGCGGCTCTAGAGAGATCGATAACCATTTCGTAACCGAGCGCTCGAGTTACTTTTACGCCGGAAGTTCCGTTCACGCCATTCACGCTCGTGTCTGGAAACGTTTCATTTTCATGGAAACGAGGAATGATTTCGTTGCGCGGAAAAAAAAAAGGTTGAATTATTTATTTTATTTTGAGACATAATACGATGGAATTTATAAAGATGGATGGAATTTACGTGTTACATGTGTTACATATATTTCAAAGATCGCTTTCTTTTCTTTTTCTTTTTTTTGTTTTTGTTTTGAAGTTTGTATTGATTTAAAAAAGATCGATTTTAATTATTACATCGGTTCGAAATATTTATTGCGAGTAATAATAAGTAATTCTTAAAGAAATATGATAATATTATATTTTTGTTATCGAATGTACCGAAGTAGATATAATTATAAATTACTGGGATTTTTATTGCGACATAAGTGATATTTCAAAAAATATATAAATTTATATAAAAATTAATAATATTTATATACTAAATTTACAGTAATGTGATTTTTGTTTTAAGTGTATATTAGTGATTATAATATATATTAGTATATATTATATGCTAAGTACAAATTATAATCGAATTTCGTCGTTATTACGAAATGCAAATCGAAAAAATTGATAAACAATTGTATCCATTTAAAGCTGTAAGAAGAATCGTGAATAAAAATTAAAGCTGAAATCAGTGACTGAATTTAATAAAGTAACTGTGTGCGATTTAATGATATACCAAAATATATTACTCAAAAAGTGTAAACCTTTCTTTGTTCTTCAACATGTCGAGATTGGAAATATCTTCGATTTTTTCGTTGAACGATGGACGAAAAATTGATTTCAGATTTTCGTTTTTATAATTATTAGCAAAATTAATATCAAGATTTTTTATCCAAACAGACGACACGATTAACACATCTAATTATTTTTAAACAACTTCCATATCCACATATTCAGATATACATTTTACTAATTCTAGTATTAATATAAAAACGAAATAAAACGACGAATCCTCTCGTTTCCTTCCAGCTCAAATCAAATCTTCCCTCATCCCTTTGATTGAACCGATCAAAATTCCAATCTCAACGACCAAATCTACCAAACAAACATAAAAAAAACTCCAATGAAATTCCAAATTCCAAATTCCATCAATGCCTCTGATTCTCCTCGACAGGTTTGGTCGCGTGAAAGGTTTCGTCCTCGTACTGTTCATTATTCACGTAATAAACCTTGCTTCGATACTGATACGGTCCCTTTCCATCTACAGGAATTGGCTTGGGCACGAACAAAGATTTCGGTTTGTACGTAATAGTGTTCGCTATCACTTCGTATGGCAATCGTGCCTGATACTGAAGCAACCGTTGAATCTGAACAGGCATGTTCTTATCGATGACCAATTTCTGAGGGATCGGCGATGGAAGCCTTTCCACGGGCACAGCGATGTGCTCCACCTGAGGCTGTTGCTGTTCCTGTTGCTGTTCGTAGCTACCTTTGTACACGATTCTACCTCTGTTCGCATACTCTCGCCTGGTTTTCCGTTGTTCTTCGCCGTAATTCTCAGACGTCTCGTACTGGGCCGATTGCTGATCCTGCTGGACCAGTTGCTGAGGATAAGAGTAAACGGAGGATGACGGGTCAGGATGTTTGAAGTCTTCCACGATCGCTTGCTTCGCGTGAGGATCCGAGTATCTGCCGTACTGAATCTGATTTGGATCCGGCGATTGGACGTCGATCGGTTGAACGAACGTTTTGTACCGTATCTGTTGAGCATCTGGCTGTGCTTGATGTTGCAAATACGATCTGTGTTCCAACCGGTCGGATTCGATCTGGACCAGTTGCGACTGAGGCTGCTGCTCCTGCAATTGCTGAGACTCCGCCTCCGTTTGCTCGCTGGATTTCTGCTGAGGTCGAAACTGATTCAGAATGCCGAAAAATTTCCAATCGACCTTTAGACCTAAGGGTATG